CTTGCCCTGAGTCTTTCCCTGAGTCTTCCTGGTCCCTCGAGTTCCCCGTGTCTCTCTTGTCGCCTGAGTTCCCCGTGCCTTGTTCATGTAAGTTTTGCTGCTCCGTCAGCCTGTTTATTTTGTACTTTTATTTACCATTAAAAGCCTATTTTTGTATTTCTGCCGAGTTGAGTCCCTGTTCTGCACTCTGGGTTCGCTCCTAACCGCAAACCATGACACCATTTGCTTCAAATGAAGTCTGAGACTGCCTTACCTCCTTTAGGAGATTTTGTAAGGGAAGATATCTACTCTTCAAAGCGTTGGCGCCATGTGCAGTTTTTGATTGAACAGTTTTGGAGTCGTTGGAAGAGAGAATACCTTCAGAATATTTCCATTCGACAAAAGTGGCACGTAATTCGGCGCACTCTTAAAGTTAATGATGTGGTTCTAGTAAAGGAGGATCTTCTTCCAAGAAGTCAGTGGCAGTTGGGTCACGTTGTGTAAACGGTGGTTGATGGGGATGGCTTGGTTCGAAGAGTGAAATTGAGAACAGGAGAACAGAGATCAGGAAGGGATATTATCTCTAGGAGTTCAGTGATAGAAAGACAAGTGCAAAAATTGGTGGTACTATTGGAAAGTGATTTGTTAACAGAATGTACAGACAAGCATGAATTAAACAACCTGCATGTTTTATTGTTTTTGTTTTTTTTTTTTTTTTGGGGGGGGGGGGGGGGATTTAAAAAAAAATAATTCATAAAATTTAGTAGTTGGTCATGCATTATTGGTGGGAGTGTAACGGACTGTAAATAATTTAAAAATTAATTTCCAAACTGTTCAGATTGTTTATAGATGTTTGTCTGTTTGACTGTGTTGGCTGTAAATGTATTGTTTTGATTTCATTGCATTTGTAGTTTTCAATTGTTTTTTTTTTTTGTACCTCACAGGATGCCATAGATTATACAGGTCCTTCTCAAAAAATTAGCATATTGTAATAAAGGTAATTATTTTCCATAATGTAATGATAAAAATTAAACTTTCATATATTTCAGATTCATTGCACACCAACTGAAATATTTCAGGTCTTTGTTTTAATACTGATGATTATGGCATACAGCTCATGAAAACCCAAAATGCCTGTCCCAAAAAATTAGCATATCATGAAAAGGTTCTCTAAACAAGCTATTAACCTAACCATCTGAATCAACGACGTAACTCTAAACACCTGCAAAAGATTCCTGAGGCTTTTAAAAACTCCCAGCCTTGTTCATTACTCAAAACCGCAATCATGGGTAAGACTGCCGACCTGACTGCTGTCCAGAAGGCCATCATAGACACCCTCAAGCAAGAGGGTAAGACACAGAAAGAAATTGCTGAACGAATAGGCTGTTCCCAGAGTGCTGTATCAAGGCACCTCAGTGGGAAGTCTGTGGGAAGGGAAAAGTGTGGCAGAAAACGCTGCACAACGAGAAGAGGTGACTGGACCCTGAGGAGGATTGTGGAGGAGGGCCGATTCCAGACCTTGGGGGACCTGCGGAAGCAGTGGACTGAGTCTGGAGTAGAAACATCCAAAGTCACCGTGCACAGGCGTGTGCAGGAAATGGGCTACAGGTGCTGCATTCCCCAGGTCAAGCCACTTTTGAACCAGAAACGGCGGCAGAAGCGCCTGACCTGGGCTACAGAGAAGCAGCACTGGACTGTTGCTCAGTGGTCCAAAGTACTTTTTTCGGATGAAAGCAAATTTTGCATGTCATTTGGAAATCAAGGTCCCAGAGTCTGGAGGAAGACTGGGGAGAAGGAAATGCCAAAATGCCAGAAGTCCAGTGTGAAGCACCCACAGTCAGTGATGGTCTGGGGTGCCATGTCAGCTGCTGGTGTTGGTCCACTGTGTTTTATCAAGGGCAGGGTCAATGCAGCTAGCTATCAGGAGATTTTGGAGCACTTCATGCTTCCATCTGCTGTAAACCTTCATGGAGATGAAGATTTCATTTTTCAGCACGACCTGGCACCTGCTCACAGTGCCAAAACCACTGGTAAATGGTTTACTGACCATGGTATTACTGTGCTCAATTGGCCTGCCAACTCTCCTGACCTGAACCCCATAGAGAACATGTGGGATATTGTGAAGAGAAAGTTGAGAGACGCAAGACCCAACACTCTGGATGAGCTTAAGGCCGCTATCAAAGCATCCTGGGCCTCCATAACACCTCAGCAGTGCCACAGGCTGATTGCCTCCATGCCACGCCACATTGAAGCAGTCATTCATGCAAAAGGATTCCCGACCAAGTATTGAGTGCATAACTGAACATGATTATTTGAAGGTTGGCGTTTTTTGTATTAAAAACACTTGTCATTCATTGGTGGGATGAAATATTCTAATTTTTTGGGAAAGGCATTTTGGGTTTTCATGAGCTGTATGCCATAAATCAGTATTAAAACAATTAAAGACCTGAAATATTTCAGTTAGTGTGCAATGAATCTGAAATATATGAAAGTTTCATTTTTATCATTACATTATGGAAAATAATGACCTTTATCACAATATGCTAATTTTTTGAGAAGGACCTGGAAGGGCCAGCCTTATAAAAGCTGACAGCAATCAGTGCACTAAATAATGGATGAAAAACAACTGTCAGTAGAACTCAAATGTTTGGTGTAAAGGAAACAAAGGCAAACTATGCTTTGCATTCCCCCGGTGAAGGCAGCGAGGTACATTTTGTTTGTATCTAAATGTTTGTATTATGAGCACATGTTATATTAAAAATAGTAGTTTTCACAGTGATCCTGATGGAAGAGAAATTAAAGAACCTGGAAAAACACCCGTCGAGACTGCGCAGAATCTTGTTAAAAACCTGGGGGGCTGCTACACATGGTAATTTTTTTCTACTTTCAGCCTAATTAGTAACTTTTCTGCTATTTCAGCTACTATTGAGTTTTATTTATGTTTTTGTGCTTATTTCAGCTTTTCAACCAATTCCACATTTTTAGCTCATTTCAGCTCTTTCCACTTCTCGTAGGTTAAGCTTCTTTCTGCCTTTTCAGTTACTTTTTAAAGTGTTTTTTTTTTTGTTGCTTTTTTTTTTTTTTTTACCAGATTTCCTAATTTTTGTGTTTAAACCCAATTCAGAAAATATGCGTTTTCTGCTTTCTTCTGCTAATTTAGGCTTGCTCTTTCATTTCAGCATGATGTTGAGCTAATTTCAGCTGTTCTTCAGCAATAAACATACACTGCCCAACATTTTTCAGTCAGGTCATCTGGACAGTTTCTTTTTTTGTGCTGAAACGTTTCGCCTTCGGTCCGGAAGACTTCATCATACACTGCATTTTAACATACAACATACAATACATTTTTGCAAGTAATGCAATTTCTCTAGTTGGATTACATTTATTTAAAAATGTCCAACTAAAAATGGCCATCAACCCTTTTTAAATATACATTTGCTTTTTACCAAGAAGCTCTGGAAATGCTCTTTGATAAGCCCATCATTTAAAACACTGAAATGAGAAAAGCTGTGTACTGTAAATGAGTGAAGATTTGGAAATTGTTTTTACACTGAGCTACAGCAGCCCACACGTGGAGCAGAGGGCTGTCATATGACACCCAGAGAGCAGGTTGTTATCCTCAGTTTGCTGCCCCAGGATGTGATAGATGACAGACCATCAGACTCCCACATCCTGAGCGTTTTCAGACAGATGTCACCCTTCATACTAACCTTTCTCTCCAGGCGCTCGTCGCGGGTTTCTGCTCTTGTTGGAGGAGGTGCATCTCTTGGGTCCTGATTTTAATAACAACAAAAAAATTAAGTCACTGTAAAAATAATAATAAAAAAACCTACCAGTACACAATTTATCAACTATTTACCTCGAAGTGCCTAATGAACGGCGCGATGCCACAGTACGGCTGGTTGTGGTGCTTCTCGTGCGGGAGTTTCTCCAGTTGAGGTAGGAAGGGTATCGGGTCCCGAGGCGCAAACAGAGCCAGCAGGTTCGGTGGTAGAAACTGCGTCATCGTTCACTAAAAGCATAATCATCACAAAAGTCCCGTTTGAAACGCAGCCGAAAATCTGCTGCCGTAAACAGTAGACTTAATGTCACACGACAGCTAGCATAGCATCCTGCTCATTGTTGTCTGGACTGAGCATTCGTGCACCCAGACGATCCGTCAGTTGTTTCAATATTATGCCTGCTTACTAAGAAACAAAAGCTGAAGTTACGGCTTCAGTAAAGTATGAACACAAGTAGTTTCCTCTACATATGGCCTCGTCTTAACTTTAATGAAATCATTCACAAGCTAACGACGCTAACAACACAAACCTGTAGTCTCACCTTTAGAGCTCGGCTACTTTCAAACCATCGATTTGAAACCGAACGGCACGATGTGAGCACTTCTGTTGAACACACTTCCTGATCCTGAAGTTGACAAACGCTTCTTTAAACTGGCTTATTCAGGGCTCTAAAGGCGCGTGTTCAGCTATATCCGCACAACGTGAAATAAGCTATACGCTTCTAAAAAATACAAAATGGCGGGGTGCCGGAAAACAAACAAAAACTGTCGTAAAACGAGAGGGGAAAAAAAGGTAGAAGGGCGGAGCCACTACGTGGTGTGAGAAGGCCCTGTTCATTTATGTGAATGAATAGATACACAGGTGCTGGTCATAAAATTAGAATATCATCCATCCATCCATCCATTATCTTTACCTGTTTATTCCATTTTGGGTCACGGGGGTCGCTGGTGCCCACGTCCAGCAATCACTGTGCGAGGGGCGGGGTACACCCTGGACGGGTCGCAAGTCCATCACAGGGCCACATAGAGACAAACGAGACAAACAACCATTCACTCTCTCATTCACACCTGGGGACAATTTAGAGTTACCAATCAGCCTAACATGCATGTTTTTGGTCTGTGGGAGGAAACCGGAGCACCCGGAGAAAACCCACGCGTGCACGGAAAGAACATGCAAACTCCACCCAGAAAGGCCCCTGGACCGGGGTTTGAACCAAGGACCTGCTCGCTGAGAGGCAGCAGCTCTACCAGTTGCGCCCCCGTGCTGCCTCCCTGTAACAGCTAGTTAACTCAAAACATTTGCCAAGGCACAAGGGCGTCAGAAGCATCCATAATGTGGGAGGGACACAATGATGTGTGTAGGTGTGTGTGCGTGCATGTGTTCACTACTGTACAAAAAAGCAACATTTCACCTAGATTTCCTTTAATTCCACACATTTAAAGCATGTTTCTCACAAAGTTTGTGTAAATTCAGCTGTGGGTTTAAAGTAATTTTAACTTTAATACACTTTAATAAAGAGTGTCAGGTCGGCACTATTTGTCTTTATAGAGAAATAAAAAACATCACCACTGGACTTTTTTTACTTGTGTTCAACACTACTCATCTAAATGATGTTTCTCATGAAGCTTGAGTACAATCAGGTGTGGGGTTTTAAAGACATTTCAACTTTAATGCACCTGAACACAGCGTCTCTTACACCTACAGCGTCACAGTTACTGCTAAGCTAAGATGCTACAGACGTAGCGCTCCACTTCTCTCCTCCTAACATGAATATATGTTTATGATCAACCCCCTGGTCAACAACTGCCCACACTAAGCATACTAAACTGGCGAGCGAGTAACACAGAGGTGTCTCATCTCCTTCACCTGTGTGCGTTTTATGCCGAGACAGGAGGAGACGCACAGAAACACTGCAGGTGTTGCACCATATTCTGTGACTACCGTATATTGTGACCGTGGCAACAGGCTGCTGTGTTTAGAGTTGGAGGTAACCAGGAAAACCTGGAGTGGAGTTTTAGTGGCCAGAGTATTTTCCTATTAATCAAGTGGAATGGATTTGTTCACGACGAAAGAGAAACTGTGCAGACTGAACTAATGTTTTATAGTAAAAGTGGGGTGTCCAAATGAACGTTTTTTTTAATGTGGGGGGGACATATCCTCATCACATATAATGGTTGCGACGCCTATGCCAAGGCCTTTAAATTGTCTCTCTGTCTAGTTCTGTAGGCTACACAATCATGGGGAAGACTGCTGACTTGACAGTTGTCCAAAAGTTGACCATTGACACCTTGCACAAGGAGGGCAAGACACAAAAGGTCATTGCTAAAGAGGCTAGCTGTTCACAGAGCTCTGTGTCCAAGCACATTAACAGAGGCGAAGAGAAGGAAAAGATGAGGTAGAAAAAGTGTACAAGCAATAGGGATAACCGCACCCTGGAGAGAATTGTGAAACAAAACCCATTCCAAAATGTGGGGGAAATTCACAAAGAGTGGACTGCAGCTGGAGTCAATGCTTCAAGAACCACCACGCACAGATGTATGCAAGACATGGGTTTCAGCTGTCGTATTCCTTGTGTCAAGCCACTCTTGAACAAGAGACAACATCAGAAGCGACTCGCCTGGGACTGCTGCTGAGTGGTCCTAAGTTATGTTCTCTGATGAAAGTAAATTTTGCATTTCCTTTGGAAATCAAGGTCTCAGAGTCTGGAGGAAGAGACGAGAGGCACATGATCCACATTGCTTGAGGTCCAGTGTCAATTTTCCACAGTCATTGATGGTTTGGTGTGCCATGTCATCTGCTTGTGTTGGTCCACTGTGTTTTGAGGTCTAAGGTCAATGCAGTCGTCTACCAGGAAGTTTAAGAGCACTTAATGCTTCCTGTTGCTGACCAACTTTATGGAGATGAAGATTTCAGTTTTCAACAGGACATGGCACCTACACACAGTGCCAAAGCTACCAGTATCTGGTTTAAGAACCATGGTATCCCTGTTCTTAACTGGCCAGTAAACTCACCTTACCTTAACCCCATAGAAAATCTATGGGGTATTGTGAAGAGGAAGATGTGATACGTCAGACCCAACAATTCAGAAGAGCTGAAGGCCGCTATCAGAGCAATCTGGGCTCTCATAACACCTGAGCAGTGCCACAGACTGATCGACTACAGGCCACGCCGCATTTCTGCAGTAATCCAGCCAAAAGGAGCCCCATCTAAGTGTTGAGTGCTGTACATGCTCATACTTTTCATGCTCATATTTTTCAGTTGGCCAACATTTATAAAAATCCTTTGTTTTTATTGGTGTTGAGTAATATGGTTCCTAGAATTTACAAAAACAGAATGGGAGGCAGATCTTCGAGTTATCAGGCTCCTCTCTTGTGGAACCAACTTCCAATCTCTGTCCGTGAGGCTGACACATTATCCAGTTTAAAAACTAGGCTTAAGACTTTCCTTTTTGCTAAATCCTATAGTTAGGGTCAGCTTGGGTTTCCTGAGCTGTCCCTTAGTTATGATGCTATAGGCTTAGACTGCTGGAGGACAAACTGACCACAATTTTCACTCTACTACTGTCTTTACTTACTCTGCTCAACCTGTTTTGTATTTGTAATTATTTTTTCTATCCTTAACATGTGTTTTTTTTTGTCTTTCAGATACACCTGGACCTATACCTGGACCTACCATTCTATGTTCGTCTGTCTCTCCTTCCTGTCCTCTCAACCGGCTGGTCAAAGCAGATGGCTGCTTGTCCTGAGCCTGGTTCTGCTGGAGGTTTCTTCCTTTTAAAAGGGAGTTTTTCCTTTCGACTGTTGCCACTGTGCTTGCTCAGGATGGGAGACTGCAATGAAGCCAAGATTCAACTTGTCTGCTGGATTCCTTAGATAGAGAACTACTAACTGGCTTTTATGTATGTGAATGTTCCTGTAAAGTGCCCTGAGACAAC